TCCATAAACACATGTATGTACAGCTGTACGTGAAAATTGCAACTTTTGTTTTATAAAGAAATCACATCTCATTGTTTAACAATTGCGTGTACTAATGATTATAAAAAAATCAGTTCGTCTTGAGTTAAATTTTTGCGCTTTTCGCGATTAGATATGAGGCAATGAATCAAATCCCATCACCTGTCACAAACCATGTCTGATCATGTAAGACCTTAACTATGTACGAATGTTTAATTTAAATAAATGCGCTGCTGGGGGGATATCAATTCTTATTTATCCTCCTTCGTATAATACACATACGTATTGTACAAATAACAAATCAATAAAGGATTTATACAATTCTCATATTTGTATTATTTTGTTAACTTATTGCACAAGCGACAAATCGATTTAGTTGAACGAGGAAAACGAGATAATTACATGTAATTCACTTCCTCAGGGGAAGCAAGAACACCAATTAATTTCAGTTTCGGAATATTGAATGAAATGTGCGTTGGAAGTATATATAAATGTTATAACCACTCATTTATTCATCGTTTAGTATCGATATTTCGTTTAATCATCCCGCGATGTGTTATCGTTTAGTCGTTGATTTAACATTCTAATAGGAAACGCGGTACTACTGAAACATGAACGGTGATTGAATTTTCAAAAATGCAAGTCGCAGTTTCCGTACGTGCCGTTCCGTTCGTACAACAGCTTTCCGTTTGGTTTACATGAGTGGGTGGTAAGCGTACTTTCTTTTTCTTCTCCCTTTTTCTTCTGCCTTTTCTCTCTTTCTCTCTCGTTACCTTCCATTCTCCCCCTTTTCTCTTTCTTTGTCATCATCCGTTAGAAATACGCCTCGAAGATTAGAATAAATGCTGGGGCACCAGAACATGGTTTATGCAGCCCGTAAATCGAACAATAAATTGATCGGTTGGATTCATAAAACCGCATGCACAGGTACTATAAATAATTTTGAAATCCCCACGCGACGTGTCAACGGGATTTTTTTTAACGCGTGAAAGCCGAAAATGGGAGATGGCTTTTTTTAAAAGTAGAAATAAGCTTGCAGTTGTTTCGACATATTTTTACGGTAGTTTCGACATCATGTATCCTATATCGTACGTGGTATAAATTGCCTCAATGAAATTTCGCTTTTAATCAAATTTACTACTTTAATTGGAATTGTGTAGTCATTTTCACTAATGGTACTTGTGACTAGTCTGAAAATTAAAAAAAAATGAAAGATTCGGAGTTTGTGTATATTTTCACCTATACAACAATAATCATTTTGCATATGAAAAAGGGAATTTGTATAATCTGGCAATTTACAGCTTTTTTACCTGGACATTAATAAAGATTTACCGAATCGACACTTTTTAATATGTTCACATAGTATGAAGTAATTTTATACTTTATCGTTGAGAACCATGATGTGTAATCGGGAATGTTCGAGGCAACTGTTCAGTTCCAAGAAAAGCATAGTCACGTTGCGTAGTCATGTAGTGTTCTTACGAATAAGTTTACGAAACAACTCGGTTTCGTTTAAAGTAACGAAACGTGTCGTGTTATAATTACAGCCCGGCGAAGATTTCGATGCTGAACACCCAGGGGACTACGCTGGCGTTACTCCAAGATCCTGAGAATGTTTTCAGAAAGATCGAGCCGGGGAACGGATCATGAAGTGACCGTGTACAAAGGACATTCGGAGCGTGTGTGATTCTGCGAAGTACTTAGCGAAAATTAAGATGTACCCCGCGCCGGCGAGACACCCAGCCGCTCCCGTAAGTATAATTAATTTCTTATAATTATATCCGTGGTTTGGAGCAAAAAATGACAATGTTACATTTTTCCAAGACGTAGTTAAATCTGGTATTGAATTTGTAAACGATTATATATTCTATATAAAAAGAATTTAAATTCTATCTAGAAATTATTATAATGGCTATATTATACATGGTATGTTCTATATTTATATTTTCTATAAACGTGATCTTTTTATGTACATACATTCATAAAGTAGTTCGCTACGGAGTTAGAAGGTAAACTGAGAAACTGCATATGTGGCATCGACAAATTCACAAGCGCGTACATGCAGCTAACTGTATACACAGAGCTTTACCCACATGGTATAAAAGTTTGTGTTCCTTGAACTTAGTCACCCCTACTGCGATCCGTAGATACCACGAACTTGGCCAATTTTTATCGTGTCCAGTGCAGTTTCGTCGACGAAGTCACTAATTTTTTGTAATTCTTCCGCGGGGAAGAATATTTCATGTCGTATGCTTTATGGCACCGATGTGGCGAGACGCTCCAGTTAAAAAAAATGTTTATATGAACGCGTTGCTGGGTCGGGTATTAAAAGAAGTTGTGTTACTCTATGGAAAGGGCATTAGTAGAAGATCTAAGCAAACGTTCATTACGAGTTACGCTCTTTAAAGTAGAACTTTTTCAACATTTTATTACATGTATTATTATTGTTTATATTAATTGGGAAATGTTTCCACGGATGGACGAGTATCATAAAAATAAGGAAATGATTTATTATATGGGTTTGAAACATTCCTTTTTATAATATTGATATCGCGGAAAACTAACAGTAGATGGGACGTTTTAACTGTTTCTACCGGCGGAGGATAAAAGGTGCCCAGTGCTTACGAGCTTTCAACTTTTCTTTTCAAAGTAGTTATTCCGTCAGTTGCTTCAACACCATTACGACGGCGCGGTACGGCGGCGGTGGCCCACATTATCTCTCTCCCCTTTTCATGAGCCCACTTATGGGGTGCGTCCAATTTTAATTCACCGCTTTGTTCATTGTTTGAACGCTTCAGAAGTGAACTATTAACCCTTAACTGCGCGCGTAACTAACTGGTGTATAGAACAAACACATGAATTTTACAAAACAGAGACGATATGTACTTGAGGTTTGAAGATGAAACAAAGTAAAGTAAATTAACATGAAGGATTAGATGGAACAGATATAAAATATACAACTGCGAGTAATTACCAGAACTACTTTTTCTAATTACTATCAAATCGTTGCTGGTTTCTCGTTCTAAAGGTTAAATCTCATTTATCCGTGACTATATCGCTACGCGTCACCTCAAAGAATAAAACCAGCTGTGTACGAGTGTTTTTAAAAAACGCTCCCTCTAAAAAGGTTAGCGCCACGGCAGCGGACACGCGAGATATCACTTGAATACGGTTGCATATGTAAATATCCTTCTTTCGCGTGGATTTCCACATTTTCCCGGCTCACAGTTAAGCCTCCCGACGGCCACCCCCGCAGCAACGGTTCTTCTCTCTCCCTTCCTCTATTCTGTCGCGAAGAATAAACCGAATGGCGGTTACGAAGTTTACGGAAGAAAGGATCGACGCGGAGTAATATAATTGCAGGGGGTTATAGCAGAAAAAGAATTCTCCTTTATACGCGCTTTACCCGGGTCGCCTTTGCATTTTCATTTTCTTACTGCAAATAATTCCACTATTCAAAGAATGCTTTGGCTCCAACCTTCCTCCTTCGCCCCCCCTCCACCCTCTTTTTCCACTGCCGTTATAATTTCACGCGTCACATAAGCTCAAAGTCCTTTATGTGAAACGAGACCACCGGAGAATTTGCTGACACAGGAGGCCTCTAGAAATTGTGTGAGATTATTTATAGAGGGGCCGGAGAGGGGAAGGGGGTTGGACAGTCGTAGGGAGAAAAAGAGAGGAATGCACGCATAGAGAGAGATGACAAGTAAACGTACAATTGTACAACAATTGCCGTTCCCAGAAGCGACTGCTGCTGGGTACACTAGCCGGTTGTTTGCTTATTGGCGCTAATGTGGCGCCGTTCAAGGGGCACAAAGTGGTTCAATAATTTCCTCGTGAGGATTCTTAAAGTGTAAAACCGTGCTTGGTATAATGGGTGGTTTATTCTATTTAGAAATGTCGAATATGCGTGGTTGTAGGATCGTTGAAACCGATTGAGTACTCGAGGGAAATGAATTCTGTGTTGCGTGCATAGTGTTTGCTTTATACTATATTCAAACAGTAAAATCATTGCAGGATTTATAATATTTATCTGAGAAAATATCATCACAATACGTAAATATCATAATTATTACATTTGACAACTAAAGCACATATATTTGAACAATATGTATGTTTGTTTATGTACTTATCTGAATTTGAGAAACTACATAATTGATGTCGAATTTGATACTAACGCGAATAATAGATAGCCTAAGAGTGATAGACTAACAATTAAGATCTAGTCATAATTCGTAGATAGAAACATTACTCTAAGCGATAAGAATTGACCCATTCTCGTTCTACAATCAAACACATGACAGGACGACTACAACTGTACTGCAACAATGTAATGGAAACTCTAGCGTCAAAATAAAAGCGGGAGTTGTTCCATAGAACGTATTTCTTTGTTTCGTTATTTCGTCAAACCATACATAGCACAGAGATTAGTTAGAACTATCAGAAGTGTTTTAAGGATGTATTGGCTATACAGTCAATCCCAAAAGTTTATGCACTTTAGAAACGCATTTTTTAAAAAGAAATCATACGTCGGAAGAACATTGTTAATAATAAACAACAACAAAAAATTTTCGGTTTTTCCGAGATTTTTCCAAGGGGTACCCCTTCAATTTCTTCCAAATTTTCGTTTTTTGCCAATAACTTCCAAACCGTTGGACATACGGAAAAATTGTATAGGACCTTTCTTGTAGAGGATGACGAGATCTACAATTTTCATGTTAAAATTTTTCGCTAGCGTCAATAGTTAACGAGTAATTTGCAAAAAACTGTTTTTTCGTTTTTTGTCAAGAACTCGTTAAATATTAATGCTAACGAAAAACTTTTATACAGAAATTGTAGATCTCGTCGTACTCTACAAGAAAGGTCATATACAATTTTCCCGTAGATTGAACGGTTTAGGAGTAATTAAGGAAAAATGAAATTTTTTACCAAAAGTTCGTCGTTTCGACGCTGGGATGGTCGGATTTTGTCAACATCAATAAAATGCCAAATAATCATACGTAACTCGTTAAATATCGAAATTAGAAGGAAAACAACTTTTATTTGAAGCATTTTTCGCAATTTTGAAAAAATTTTTCGTCAGCGTCAATACTTAATTGGATATTTCCTTCTATACTTTTTAGCACGTAGCTATTTATTATTAGCATTATTCTTCCGACGTCTGATTTCTTTTTAATTATAGGAAATGCGTTTTTCTAAGGTACATAAACTTTTGGGATTGACTGTATAGCCAATACATCCTTAAGTTTTAGAACACGATTTTATAGGCAAGAAATGAAGTGTTTAATACAAAATATAGAAGAATCACTTTCAATCATTAGAATTTCAATAAGAATGATTTTTTCTATCTTAATAAATCAAAGCAGCCGAATTGAAGATTTTAATATATGAATCTTGCCAAAGGTGCACTCGTTAAAACTTACATAAATTGACATGATTCATGTAACATTAAACAACTTCTAGTCGTGTAGGTTCCTATTTTTCACAAGATAACGCAATTAACTAATTTGAGTATTCAAATCAATTACATATTGCAATTAACTAGTACAGATATCAATGATATAGTATGTGTGCTCGGGTATGCTTCATTTTGTTATAGAAAATATTACAATATTTTTAATATCAGCTGTTTGAGAGATTCGCTCCACTAATTCGGTCTCTATCTATGACACGGACGTTTGATCAACTAATGATATGTACTGTATCTGTTACGCACAAGCGAAGGACAAAAAAGTAGGAAAGCGAAAAAAACTGTTACGGTAACGAAAAGTCTTACAACCTCTTTGCAGATGTTCGGCACTGACTTGTACCATGCATTATAGCAACAGACAAAGGGACGGTTCTTTGTTTCCTCTTTCTTTTTAGTCTTTCCTTACCACTTCACCGTTTCTCTCTCTTCTACCTTCACTGTTCGCCCTATTTCATCGTCGCATATAATCTTTTGCATCATTTATGCTGTTTATATGTGTAACCTCCACGGTTTTTCGATGCTTCCTGTTATTAAAGTATTTAATATTATAATCTACTTGAATCTACAAAGTGCAAACGTTCAAGGAATGCCATAAATATTTTCCAAGTCTACGGCGAATTTCACCTTTAGACGTTTAAGTTAATTTAATTCACGTAACAACTTCTCGTTCTAAACAGTATATCTATCGTTCTATGTAAAATGAATATAAAACCTATTTGAAGTATAGTTGTAGACATTTATCCGGCAACGATCCGGAAAACTATTTCTGTTTTTAATCGAACACCGTTTACCGTTAAGATGCTGTTCGAAAACCATGTCGATCGACAACAAATACAACGAATGGAAAGGCGAAATTGCAACATAAAAATGATTCTTCACCGCGAGTTTTTTTTAGCGCGTGGACGACGAGAGCCAGGGATGAAGGAAAGAAGGGGAGAGGGAAGGGTGGAAAGGGGCGTGCGGGGATAGATACGCCGATGACAATCGCTGATCAAATTGCACGACGGCTAATTGTTCGTCGAGTCGTCCCATCCCGAATTGAAACGAGGAGTGAAAATTGAAATGCTCGCCGGAGGGTCACTTGATTCTGAAATGGAAAAAGTCATACTAGACGGCCGATTGGTAACAATGGATGCCAATGACGAATTTATACTTTCGAGATGCGACTCGGATCCAGGCAGATGCAGTTTCCTTCTGTTGAAATCGTGTTTCGTTCACGCTCATTGCACCTACATGATACCAAATTACAGGGCTAAACCTATGACTGTGTTTACCTGCTAT